CTGAAACACATTTGGCCCTTTCTGAAAATTAATTGAGTAGTTTTCGGGAATACATTTGCATTTTTCTGAAATACTATTGGAAAAGGTGTAGATCGGTCACGCTATAGTTTCTTTGTGCCTTATTCAATTTGGCTGACATATACGCCATCGGTCTTTCTTCCCCGTCCGCGTCCAGTTGGAAGAGTACTCCTCCCACCCCGTCTGTCGATGCGTCACATAGTAAGTAAAATCGTCTATAGAAGTCCGGATGTACGAGTACTGGGGCGGATATAAGGCTTTGTTTCAGTGCCTCAAACGCTTTTATGGCCTCATCGGTCATGTGAAATTTGTTTATTTTGTCCTTGGACAGGCAGTCATGTAGCGGCGCAGCGATATTCGCGTAGTTTTGGATGAATCTGCGATACCATCTTGACATGCCCAGAAACCTTCGGAGTTGCTTAAGGCTCTTTGGAAGAGGGAAATCTCGTACGGCTGCGACTTTGTTAGCATCCGTTCGAATGCATCCATCTCCCACAACATAACCCAAGTAACGTACCTCACGATAGCCGAATTTACTTTTTTCAAGCAGTGCGCGCTTCCACTCCACAATGCCTGGGTTCAAACAATGGTCAAACCAACATCGCAAATATATAGAAAAAGAGGTTTTTTCTTAACAGCGGTCGTCCCTCGGCAGGCAATGGCAAACCTCCGAGTGTATTTCTGCCATGAAAAACAGCTTCTCATAAAAATACAATCGCCGTTCGGAGTCGGCTTAAAACTGTAGGTCCCTCCACTTTGTGTGACAACATCAAGGCGCACGCCACAAATCGGAGGAGAAGCTTGGCCAAACACTAACATATGTGTAAGCGCCAATCTATTATTATTATTATTATAATCAACCGGCATTCCACAAGCAAAACACATCATGAGGTGGAACGGGGATGCACAGAAAACTTGCTTGAGATCATTACTGACATTACTATGGACGGTGGACGAATTACTTACATTTGAGGTTGGATTAAGGGATGTGGGTTTGGGTCTAGACATGTCAGGCGCAGAGGTAGTATTAAGCGAGTTCCTACTTTCCCCGGAGTGGTTTCGGCCTTCTATTTCCCTGTCGTTTTTCCATTCTTCTGGATATACCGTGTCACAACTTTCTATTTCATTTACCGTCCTGACTCTACCGTCCTCCTACCTACCTATTCTCCTTAATAAGTTTTTCAGCTCCCTTACATTCGTACTTCAGTTCAGACACCGATCCAATCTTGGTGGCGAAATTTAGATTAGCCAAGTATAGTTTGAGGTTTCCCCGTACGATCTTTACCAACTCGTCTTCTTGGATCTTCTTTCGAAGGCGAAACGTGAGATCATGTATATCTGCAGAGAAGTCCTCAAAGCTTTCTTGTGCGTGCTGTTTTCGCTTAATGATTTCGCGTATCACCTCGTAATCTGACTCGGCCGATTGGTACTGCGCTAATAGTTCTGCCTTTAATTCGAAGTAATCGAATGTTTCATCATCGGCATGGTCTTCTAAGACCTGCCAGTAACATTTCAGAGCATGTCCTGTGACCAAGCAGTGGAACTCGGAAAAAAGCTGATCATAGGAGAGGTGATACTGGACCCGCATTCGTTCCAAGCGAAAGACGAAGCTTTCCACTGTCATTCCCCTATTGGTTCCATCGAACTTCAAATGCCACTTGTCTAAATCCACTTTCTTTCGTTCATGACCATCTGCACTCTCACGCGACTACCTACTACTATCGTTCGGATGTCGTCTATTTCCTCGCCAGTTCGCTGGGTCCGGTGTTGAAGTCGTACCTGCTGGTAGTGGTGCTGCTGGAGCCTGCATCGAAGTCTCCACATCACCAACGCGGTTGCTGCGCTGCGACACATCGGTCCGGATTTTCCTGACCTCATTCATACAATCTTCCATTACCGCGTTCTGTTGCACTAACACCGCCATCATCTGGCTGATTTGGTCGATTCTGTTTGCTGGTGGCGTGGTTGTTGGCTCACCACCTCCGGCTGACTCCTGTGTCAGTCGCGATATTGCACCTCCTATCGCTCCCTCCAACATTTCCTCCTGAGCCGACGGTTCTGACATCTCCAGAATGCGGTTCAGTTTCCGAGAAAAACTGAGGGATTCGGTGCTGTCTTTGACCATTATTTGGTTGCACGGAGGATCAGAATCCTTTTGTACTTGTCGCCCAAAAATTCGAGCTGTGCAGCGGTTGAAATAGTCCACTGGCACGAAGTCTGTTGGATATTCGACCCCAGTATCTATTTGCGTGAACAGGGAACCCACTACTTGGTTTTCTAGTGACCTCGCAACACTTCGCGTAAATGGTCTATTGTTGGGGAGAATACCTAACCTTGTTCTTTGTGGTTCTTCAGTTTCTTCAGATGTCTCCAGTTTCTTCAGATGTCTCCATTAACCCAGCAAAAAAACTTTCTGACACGTAAAATAATAAATAATTTTCAAAAATAATTCAAAGCAGTTTCGCTAATATGAAAAATTTGATTTCAGTACAGTGTAGGTATATAAACTTACCGTTCCGTGATTTAGTTAATAACCAAATGGATGTTAAAAGAATAAAAAATATATATCTGATCGAATACGACTTATACCAGTTTCGCCACTTCATTCGGCTTAACTTACTAGCATAGAGAATAAAGGGTAGTAAAAAGGCTAATAATATCTGCTACATATGATTTAAAAATAATAATAATAAAAAAACTGACTTCGAAACTTTCCGAAATTCGACGTTTACATGTGCTAAACGGAGAATTGCATCATTAAACTAACTATCTATATCCTTAGCAATAACAATACTTCACTTATCAGAGAAGGAACGATATGTATGTATGCAAAATAAATTAATAGGAATTTCTAAGGTATGTGTATATGGTGTGGATGGTTGGTGCATAGATGGTGTTGTCCTCGACTGGCGGATTGCATGAATGTTCACTTAAACTATCGTGAGTATGCTCGTCACAGTCCAATGTCAATGTCACTAATTACCCTTTTTATTTTCAGCTTGCCACTACAGAGCGAAAACCTGAGCCATCGCATCTGGAAGCAATGCTTGGTAACTGCCCTTAGCCCCACTGGAAAGAACCAGCTGCCTCACATCTGGCAAGTGCGAAACTCATCTTCTGGTAGCGCTAGTCTCTTCCAGCAAATCAAAGAAAATGATAAGACTTGTTACGGTCTGTCTCGACCACGATATACTTTATTCGACAATGTAGGTTTCCAAGTAAATATACATAATTTGAGAAAGGTTCTTAAATACCAAAAATTTATGTACAAAAATATTACAGTAAATTATGGCAAAAGATTAGTGGTACATAAAATGAGTGGAATGAGAAATACACAATCTTAGCATATGTGAGTAAGTATGTAGTGCTTAAGTGAGAATTGAGTGTAAATGACAACTATTGAAAAAACAGCCGCAAAGCCAAACTGCTGGGTACTATATGTTGCAGTGGTTCCCCACATCCTCCGCCCGTTGAAAGTTTAAACTTTCAAGATGATCATCTAATGGCAGCAAGCATAGTTTAGCGATAGCTCTTTTTGTGACTCCTGAACTTGTTTGCAACTTTGCTACGCGCGCTATATTATCAGGTCCAGGAATTAAGTCGATGACTCGTGCCAACGGCCAGCGAAGCGGCGGTAGATATTCATCTTTGATGAGTACTAGAGCACCTGCTTTTAGATCTTACCTTTGGGTACGCCACTTGGATCGTTGTTGTAACTGTGTGAGATATTCTGTACTCCCCTTCTTCCAGAATATTTGTTGCATGTGAGAAATACGCTGCCAACGACTGAGTCTGTTAATGTTTAAATCTGTGATGTCTGGTTCAACTGTAGCTGTGAAAGGGCCGCCAATCAAAAAATGGCCGGGTGTGAGGACTGCGAGATCATCCGGATGCTCTGTAAGTGGAATAAGAGGTCGAGAATTAATAATTGCCGAGATTTGGCAGATAAGCGTGCGGAGCTCTTCGAAAGACAACCGCGAAGAACCTACGACTCTATAGAAGTGAAATTTCGCTGATTTAACAGCAGCTTCCCATAGTCCTCCAAAATGGGGAGATCTGGGCGGTATAGACTTCCATTCGATGTCATCTTCGGCACATTGTTTGCGGGCTTTCTCCTGATGCTCGCTACTCAAAAATAATCGCCTTAGTTCCAGCAACTCGTTTTTGGCTCCAACAAAGTTTGTTGCGTTGTCTGTCCAAATTGTTTTAGGTTTACCTCGTGTACTGATAAACCTTTGCAATGCAGCCAAAAACGCAGGTGTCGACAGGTCTTTGACAAGTTCAAGATGAACTGCCTTCGTGGCAAAGCAAATAAACAAGGCGATGTAGCACTTCAGTGGTTGTCTATTCCGAAATTCCGACTGATAGTAGAACGGGCCACAAAAATCTATTCCTGTAGTAAAAAATGATCTAGCCGGTTGTACTCGTTCCGCCATTATTTGCTCCATCAATTTGGGTTTGGCACGAAAGCATATGATGCATTTGTTGACGACCTGTGCTATCGTTTTTCGAGCTCCTATTGCCCAATATTGTAACCGTATTGTTGCAAGCAGTGCCTGAGGACCTACGTGTAAATATTTTAAGTGAAAATGATTAATCATTGAAATTGTAAGTGCATGACGTTTTGGCATGATAATGGGAATCCGCGACTGAAATTCTAAAATTGTGTTTTGTGGCGGCCACCAACTCTTAGAAGACCAAATGTATCCAGAAAGGGTGATAAAGAAAACAATGCGCTTGTTGAGGGAACTGCTTCTTTCCTTTGAAGTGAAGTATACTCAGCTGAAAAGTGTACCATTTGTATCATGCGAATTAAGAGGTGTGTTCCATTCTGAATGCGATTAGGTGTTAATTGACCAGAGCTATCCTTCTTAGTAAACATATAGGCGTACCCGTAGATTCGTTGCATGGATGGACACGAGTTTATGTATTTGCAGTTTACTGAAATATCAGCTGCAGAACATGCAGATAGCAAAAACTTTTACGAGCTTCTGGAAGCTCTTGATGCTGAACGCAAAATTTAGGCCACTCATTGCGCGCATTGAGTAAAAACGACGGCCCATGTTTCCATAATGCAGAATTAGATAATTCAGTTGGTGTTGCTCCGCGAGAAAGTATATCAGCAGGGTTTGCAGCTGTTGGAACATAGCGCCACTCCATACCATCTGTGAGGTTTTGAATGCTGCTGATGCGATTGGCCACGAAGACGTTGAAGCGGGATGAGTCCTCTCTCAACCATGCTAGTACAATACTAGAGTCTGACCAACAATAAAACCTACAACGAAAAATGTTTAGTAGGGCGATGGAGTGCACTGCCTGCGCAAGCAAATGGGCTGCACATAGCTCGAGCTTCGGCACAGTTAGAAATTTGATTGGAGCAACACGCGACTTTGAACAAAGTAAGTTTGTATGTACGCCCTTCCCATTGTCAGCACGTACATACACACAAACACCATAAGCCGACAAACTAGCGTCACAAAAGGCGTGCAGTTCCAACGATGCATTCCGCTTAGCGATGAAACGGGGAAATTGTAAATGCTTGACACTATCGAATTGACTGTAGAGATTATCCCAAATTGTTTCATGTGACATCGGCAAACTATCGTCCCAGTCAAGTTTTTCCATCCACAAACGCTGAAGAAATATTTTTGCCTTTAATACGAATGATCCGATCAGGCCGAGCGGATCATACAAACGTGCAATAATGGAAAGTGCAGAGGGTTTTGTTATTCTCCCTGGTTTCTGAAATGGAGTGAATGCAAAGAAAAATAAATCTCGATCGGTGTTCGATTGCAACACAAGAGCCTTTGTTATGCTGCTGCCGTCGTCGAATTTGAGAAGTTTCTCTCTATCAGCCAGAGGAATCTGCGCTAAAACCGCTTGATCATTTGAACACCACTTGCGTATTTAAAGTTACCCTTGGCAATTAGCTGAGAAGTTTGTTGCATTATTTCAATTGCCTCCTCAGCAGTATCGGCCAGTTATCATGTCATCGACATAAAAATCTCGCAGAACTACCTGAGAACCAAGAGGGTATGACTCGGCTTCATCTTTAGCCAGCTGATGCATAGCTCTAATAGCTAAGAATGACGCCGGTCGTGTGCCATATGTGACAGTCTCTAATTTGTAAGTTTTAGCATCTTCCAGCGGATTTTCTCTCCAAAGTATGCACTGAAGTTAGTCATCTGGTGAGGACATGCGTATGCAGCGGTACATTTTGCATATGTCACCTGTTAATGCGATGGGATTTGATCTAAATCGAATTAAAGTTTGTGCAAGTTTTGGTTGAATCGTTGGGCCTGCCATGAGGATTTGATTCAGAGAGTAGCCACTTGTTGTACGAGCCGACCCGTCGAAGACTACGCGGAGCTTAGTTGTTGTGCTATCTTCTTTGAAAACGCAGTGATGCGGGAGATAATATGTTGGCACATCGGGAGGATCGACCACAATAGACATGTGGTTTAATTAAAGATATTCTCTCATAAACGATAAAAACTAACCTAACGTTGTCGTTTCGTTGCAAACGTCGTTCCAGAGAGATCAGTCGTCGCAAGGCATGTTGGTATGAGTCACCAAGCAAGTTTATGCCCTGCTTGACAGGAAGGCGGACTGAATACTCACCAGTATCCAAACGACAGTAGTTTGCCTGGAAGTGCATTTCACAATTAAATTCTTCTTTCTTTACCTTCGTAGTTCCTTCAAGACAATTTTCTGTCTCCCAAAAACCACGCACCAGTTGGTCAAGAGATTTATGCGGTTCGTTGCTTTCGACGAGCTTTGATGCCACCGCACACGACGAGTTCATGATGGAGCCTTGTTTACCGCCAGAGACGATCCAGCCAAGACGTGTCTTTTGCAAAATGTGTGTTGGTTCCTTTAGACGTAATTGGCCAACACACAATAAATCAAAAAATATACTGGCTCCAATTAAGAGGTCAATTCGACGAGACGTATTGAATGATGGATCGGCCAATTTGATATTATCTGGTATGTTCCATTGAGATGTGCTGAAAGTTGTGTTTGGCTGCCGCTCAGTAATGGTTGGAATAATGGACGCCGTAATAGTGTTCGTGTAGTCGTTGTGGATAGATTTGATGGTAACATCGATGGTATATTCAACTGTTATACCTGAGTCACCAATTCCCGAAACTGCTATTGGGAATTTTGATTTTTTCAACTGTAGCTGGTTGGACAACCTGTTCGTAGCAAAATTAAATTGTGAAGCTGAGTCTAATATAGCACGACAGGGGATAAACAATCCAGCCTTGTTTTTTTACAAAAACAGTTGCGGTAGCCAACAGGACGGATTCACTTTCTTGAGCGCTTGAGTGTGCGTTCGATACGCATGCAGGTGCCATAGAAACCAAAGATGCAGCTGACTTTGTTTGAGCAGAGTTTTCTGTAGATGAGACATTTTGGATTGGTTGCTCTGGAATGTCCCTATGTAAAAGGGTGTGATGAGCTGCCTTACAACGATAACAGTGAGTGGATTTGCATTGTTGTAATCGATGCCCAGTCTTAAGGCAGTTAAGGCAAAGTTCACAATTTTTTGCCTCTTTCCAGCGCTCACTT